CCACCCCTCCTTGTCCTCCCTCCCCCCAGCCCAGCTTCTCCCACCTCTCCATGTCCCCCCTCCTCCCAGCCCAGCTTCTCCCACCCCTCCTTGTCCTCCCTCCCTCTCCCCCCAGCCCAGCTTCTGCTACCCTTCCATGTCCCCCCTCCCCTCAGCCCAGCTTCTCCCACCCCTCCTTGTCCCCCCCCCCAAGAGAGATCCTAGTCTCATGAGCATCTTTGATCTCTCCCTTCTTGTCCTTTCTTTCCATCTCTTCTTTTGAGGCCTCTGGGCAGACTGCCAGGAAGTGGCTCACACTCCTTAAAGCTCGCTTTAAATGTGAGTCTCCATTTCTCTTCCTCGTCATGATCTCCACGCGCCGCCACCGCCCCCCCCCCATCACTAGAAGAAATAGTAAGAGCCGGAAGCTTCCCTTGAGCCCAGGCTCCTTCTTGACCGGGGTCCCCGGTCCCTGGCTAACACGGAGATGTCCTACCTGTGAGGCCTCATCCATATCACTCCAACATTCTCTACTTAACGCAAACAAGGCCTCCCCCGCCCCCAGCTCTTCTCTCCTGTCCCAGCTGCCTAGGGTACATGCTGACAGGGCCTGCCCTCTGGGAGCATCTGAGGCCCAGGCCCTGGCTCCTGTTTCAGCATGGCCGGATTCTTTTATTCAGTAGAGTGTCCCTCTCACCCAGGTTACTGTCTGGAATTCTTAGCTTGGGGTTTGTGGCCTAGTTTTAAAATTATTTTCGTAGTTGTATTTCAGTATAGCTAATTTTAGTGGAATCCTTACCATATGCATTTAAAAACATAATTTTGAGGAGGGATCCCTAGTTTTCATTGGACTGCCGAAGGGGCCCGTTACACCCCAGTTGAGAGCCCCTGATTTGTCCTGAGCTCCTGTTGAGGAGACTCTGGCCTAGGCTCCCGGGGGGGGGGGCGGGCGCATGTTCTGCTGGGGGGAGGCCACACTTACCCAGTTAGTAAATAGCAGATAATTTGAGCAGAGAGAAAGCAATAGCAAATAGTGAGGAAGATCATGGAAGGCTTCCTGGAGGAGGTAGCACCTGGCTTGAATCTGGAAGGCAGCTAAGGATTCCAGGGTGCAGAGGGGCAGCCTGTGTGGGGAGCTCAAGGAAGAGCTGGGCGCTGTTTGGCTGGAAAGGATAGTGGGTGAAGCCTGATTGAGAGGCCGTGTGGCCTAGTGATCAGAGAGCTGACCTTGGAGTCAGGAAGACCTGGGTTCAAGAACCTGCCCAAAGAGCTCCGGGAGGCAGCAGAAAGGGTGCTGCTCTTCACTGCCCCCACCAGAGGGTGGCTGGGAGCCAGGCTGTGGAGGGCTCTAAGTGCCATCCTGAAGGCACTGGGGAGCCACTGAGGAGTCTTGATCACTGCAGGCCCTCAGGTTCTTAGGGTAAGGGGTGGTGTTTGAACTGGACCTCGGACAGGGAGGAGTCCCTAGGGAGATGCCGGAGAAAAGGAAGGGGCATGCCAGTGGGGAGCCCTGAGCACCAGCGGGGCAGACAGCCCAAAGTGGTACCCAGGGAGGGTCCCCAGTAACCTCGTGAGGGCAGGAAAGGGAGGATGGGGCTGGAGATCACAAAGGGCTGGATGGACTTGATTCTGTGGGGAGCCAGAAGGGCAATGTCTCCCTGCCCCCAGAAAGGATTTCATGGGCCTCCCAATCCCTCTCTGAGGAGTGGCCCTCGGGCCTTGCAGGGAAGGGGCGTCCATGGCCCCAGCAAGGGCCCTGCTCCTTCTTTGAACAGGTGTCATTTTGAAGGTTTTTTTCTTAGATCAAGCTAAAACAGGTCTTGTCAGGCCTTTCAGGGCCAGCGCCATCCAGTCGCATCCTCTTTCAGGCCGGATATGTCCATTGCTTGCAGGGGCAGGATTCCAAGGCCCCTCAACGCTCTGTTCCCGTTCTGGGGGTCCTGGTCCCAAAGTGTGATGTTAAAGTGAGCACCAGTGGCCACTGTGATGTGGGCAGGGCAGGCCCAGCTCTGCTCAGGACAGCCTAGAGAGACAGGACTGGCCTTTTCGAAAGTCTACACCCCGCCCCCCTGGGCCGCTTCGCCAGGGGGTCGAGGCTGGCCAGCGGTCATCTTAGCCATCGTAGAGTCGTTTTCATTGGCGCCGTCATCCTCACTGTTGTGAGTCTTCTGATTGGCAGCTCTGTGGTCTGCAGCAGTTCCCACAGATAGGCAACGGGCAAATCACCTACTGTGTGCCAGGTCCCATGCCAAGAGAAGAAAATTCAAAGAAGAGCCCCCAAGGATCTTCCAGTCTGACAGGGGAACACCAGCAGACGGCTGTGTACGACCACGCTGTCTGTGTCCAGAATAAATAGGAAATAATGGACGGGGCGGGGAGGGAAGATGCCCGAGTCACGAGGGATTGGAGGAGGCCTCCGTCCTGCAGGAGGGGGCGTTTTAGCTGGGCCTCGGGAAGCAGGGAGGTCTTGAGGAGGAGGGAGCACGCTCTCAGCCTGGGGCACTGTGGGAGAGAGGCTGGAGCTGCCAGGAGGCCAGCGTCATCGCTGGATGGGAGTGTTCTTGATGGGGAGCGAGGTGTGAGGAGGCTGGAAAGGGAAGAAGGAGCAGGTTAGGAAGGGCTGTGTGGTATTTGCTCCCGGAGACCATAGGGAGCCACTGCAGTTTATGGAGTAGGAGGGCCATGGTCAGAGCTGAGCTTTAGAAGATCCCTCTGGAGGCAGACCCCCCAGCACGTTGTTAGGGTAGTCTTGGTGTGAGGGGATGAGGGGCTGGGCCAGGGTGGGGCGTATTCCAGAGATGCTGCAGAGGTGAAAGCCGGGGCTCGGTCACGGCTTGCACGGCTCTGTGCTCCCCCTAAGTCCTCTCTGTCGTTTCTCACGGCACAGCGACGCTCTCTCCTCGGCTTTTTGGTTGGCTGGCTGCCGTTTTAAGCTTCCGCCAGGAGCTGTTCAGCTCAAAGCCGGGTGTGGCCTAGTGTCTCCCGCTCGGTCCTTGTGAAGCTGCTCACAAAACTCTCCTGGCCCCTCTGGCATTTTGGCCCTTGGCCTTTGGGGATCCTGGCTCCGTCTGCCACCTCTCCCAGCCTGGCGTGCCCTCCAGGCATGGTTTACTGCCCATGGCCCAGGACAGAGTGCTGGGCCCCTTCTGTGCAGAGACTTCCTCCAGGTTGAAGTTGCCTTTGTTTTGTTTTATTTTGCTTTTTGGTTTTGTTTGTTTGTTTTTGGCTAGGCCCTGGGGTTAAGTGACTTGCCCAGGGTCACACAGCTAGGAAGTGTCAAGTGTGTGAGGTTAGATTTGAACTCAAGTCCTCCTGACTCCGGGGTCAGTGCTGTATTCACTGCACCACCCCGCTGCCCCTGAAGTTGCCTTTGCCTCTTTTATCCAGTGAAAGGTTCTGAGCTGTGGGCGGCTGGTCAGAGCTCTGTGTTAGGAATAGGATTCCATGAGCATGTGCAGGACTGATTCAGTTGGAGGCAGGGAAGTCAACAAGGGGGATCCAGACCCCTTCGAGGCTCTGAGAGCTATGGGGACTTGGGAGGGCTCTAGAACTCAGAGCAGCCACATGAGGGATGCGGGTGAAGGCCCTTGCGCTCAAGAGAAAGCAGGGCGACCGAGCTGGGGCCACGGGGGGTGGGGGGACAGATTGGGACTTAATGTGACTGAGAGCTCCTCAGGATTCACACTCGGCTCCCCAGCTCTTCTTCTTCAGAGTGTGCCCAAGGGTGTGGCAATCCTGCACCGACCCACTGCCACCACGCCCCCCCCCTTCTCGCCCAGGACGGAGGGGGTGGGGCTGCTGACTGCACCAAGTCACTCTTGGGGTTCCATTTTCTCCGATTGTAGAGGGCAGGACGGAAGTGGTCAACGGGGCGCTAAAACCCGCCACGAGTAAGGATGTGTTAGTGGGCGCTCCTTGCACCCTGCTGGGTACCAGACACTTTGCTTGGCTCTGGGGGTGCACAAGTGAAATCCCCGGGAGCTGATCCTTGTCCCCAGAGAAGGCTTTACCGAGGGCAGAGAGAGTAATGGGAGGAGAGCCTGCAGACCCTGGGCTCAGCCACCTGGATTCTCAGATGTGATTAAAGGGATCCTTGGTGATGGATACCAGAGAGCCAGCGGGACTTCAAGACCTCCTGGCTCAGTCAGGTGGGCAGTCAGTATTTGTTAAATGGGCACCTACTGTGTGCTGGGCCTGGGGGTTACAGAGAGAAAAAGGCTCCTGGGCTGCCCTTGAGGAGAAGCAGTGGGCAGTGTCAAGGTCTATACAAAACCCATACTAGTAATTGTTCTAGATCAGGCCCAGTATGGCTCTTAAGCTGAGGCTTGAAGAAAACTTGGGATTCTGAAAGGCAGCAGGGAGGCATTCTGGGGGGCCTTCCAGGCCGACACAAACTACCTGTACTAGGAGCAGCGAGGCTGGTTTGGCCGGACCAGAGGCCATGGGGCCGGGGCCCTTTGTGAAGTGCTCTCAGTGTCCAGAGGAGAGGTTTGTGGGCTGTCCTGGAGGCAGCTGGACGCTGTGGAAGCCTCTGGAGCGGTTGACTTTTCAGAGGTCGGATTGGAGGAAGCCTCCCTTCATGCTGGGGCTGTGTGCCGTGTGGAGTCCTGGAGAAACTCTGCAAGATTGGACAGAGGTCGGGTCTGTGGGTGCCTGGGAAAGTAAGGCGTGGGGGATGGGGCCAAAGGAATAAGCTTGGGGGGCAGGGGGGAGTTTTTGAGGGGCACAATCCCAGACACTCGGAGTTTCCTGTGCCTGTGGGACTTCTAGGTAGAGGTGCCCAAAAGGCAGACGATGATGGGGCAGGGGGGGCCTATAAATCTGTAAGTCATCTGCAGAAAGTTGGTCGTGAAACCCGTGGGAGCTGACGAGGGCACCAGGGGAGCAAAGGAGGCATTTAGGGGCCAGGATGTGAAGGGTGAACCAGCAAAGGATTCTGAGAAGGAAGGAAGGGAGGGAGGAGCAGTAGCATCCCCCCACCTAGAGGGGGTCAGCTGAGTGATGAAGGCGGGAGCCGGATTCCAGAGGGAAAGGAGGCCAAGAGGAGAGAGGCTGGGGGCAAGGACATAGCCAGCCAGGGATGTAGGACATGGGGACTTTGTTTGCAGGGTGCCCAGACATCAGCGAACCGTGTCTTTGTCTCCCCTGCCTTCCTTCTTGCGGAGAAGCTGGAGAGCTGAGGTTGGGTCAGGGGGCATCAGAACTGGCGAGAGCATGCTTGATGCTGCAGCACCCCCTTGAAGGAGGGCCTTGAGGAGAATGCCTGGGAATCCCGGTGAGGCCATGCTCTCTGATTTGTGGAGACGGCCTATCCCACAGCTGCCGGGGACCAGGCTGGAGGGCCAGCTAACCCAGTGGGTGGCAGTCAGGAGCCAGAAGAGCTGGGGGGGTTGGCTAGAACGTTAGGCCTTGGCTAATATATGTCAGGCGGTCCAAATTTATTGAGGACTTACTATGGGCCGGGCACTGAGCTGTGCTCTCAAAATGTAAATCCTTAACATGTGATCAAAGATGGGGCAGCCCAACTCAGCCTCTCTGGTGTGGGCACAATCTGGGGCCATCGGTCGGACCGGATACAGTATGAGTTAGCCCCAGTTGCCAGTGCATTCCTGGCTGCCCGACGAAAGGCTCAGTGTAGGGAGTGAAGGCGGCGCTCTGGTCAGCCTGCAGTGCCTCAGAGGGAGCCGAGGAGAGGTGCTCCCGGGCGTGGGTGGTGGGCTGGAGGAGAGCGGGCAGAGGCGGTGCCTGTAACTGGCAAGGCCTTCCTTGTTTCTCCCCAGAGAGCAGACTTCCCTTGAGAAGCACCAGCAATGCTCACATGATGACCTCAGCCGCCCCAAAGGAGAGGGGGCCACTGGCCCCCAGCACCGAGGCCGCCCAGAAGTTCTTGGATTCTTTCCTGCGGGAATTTCCAGAGCCCCTGAGCCCGGAGGCCGCATTGCCGTGGAAGGTGCCAGGAGCTCCTCTGAGCCAGGACGAAGTAGAGGGGGACCTGATTGAGCTGGCCCTGGGCCTCCTTAGCAGCAGGTAGGAGTGCACTTCCTTCCCCTTCCCTGCCGGCTCAGAGCAGAGACCAGCTGAGCACGGGGAGGGGCTCTGGGCTCGGAGTGCATGATTCTGTCTCTGGACCTCAGTTTCCTCATCTGTGAAATGGGGATAGTTGAGCTTTTACCATCTCCTTTATGGGGCCGTTGGGAGGACCAGAGAAATTAGTCCATAAAAGTTCTGTGTATCCTGTAACTTGTTGAGCAGATGGGAGCCGGTGTTCTCCGTTGAGGGGCCCAGCCAGCGACTGGCCTTGGCCACTTAGAAACATCTGGCCTTTCCCACAGGCAGCTGGGGGATGAGCTAACCGTATGCACACAGCCTTCCTCCACATCTCCGGCTAGCTGTCCCCCCCCGGAAATTTTCCAGCAACCCACCAAGCCCGTGTCACTCCCGAGCAGTTCTCAGTGGCAGGATGTAAGTAAGGGCAGGGCGTGAGGAAACGGGAAGTGAGTGGCCCCCTGCCAGCCATTGTCTGGGCCTTCCAAACAGGACGCTGCCCAAGCAAAGCCCGGCCCCCTGGGATGACCTCTGGGGCCTCCCTTCCTCCCTGAGGGGTACCAAGAATCCCCCATCCCCAAGGGACGGTGTGGCCTCGCTTGCGTCTTGATTCAGTGTGAGAGTGTGCCCCCAGGGGAGCAGCCGCCTTGGAGGACTTTCGTGTCTCCAAGGGTTCCTGATGAAACCCACTTGGCTGCCAAGCTGTCCCTTCTGAACATCAGCACGGGGCAGGGAGAGGCCGGGCCGAGAACTGAGCTTTCTTTCTCTTTCTCTCTCCAGTACCAAGATCAGGCTGGGGCTGTCTCTCAGAGGTTCAGAAATGTCAATGGGCTCTTGTGTCTCCTCCCTGCCCCCCTCCCCTAGGCTGACCAAGGACAGGACCAGTCCCTTCCTTCCCCCTCCCCCCACTCTCATGGAGTTTATATTCTTCCACGGAGCCGCTTGTGGTCCTCAGGGTCTGCTTTGGAAGGTGGCCAGGTGTGACGTTTAAAAAGTTTGAGAGACATAGTTTCTGGGTAATTTAATCATTTTATTCGTAATGCCGGCACGTTTATTAACAAAAGGAGGTCAGTGGCCCCCACGATTGCCAAAGATCTCATGGCAATGGGCTCACAATTTATATACTCTTGGAAAAGCAGTGTTTCTGGGAGTGGCAGTCAGCTCTGATGGGTTAACAATTAATGAGAAAATGAATTTTAGAGTGAGAGGCTGGGCTGTTACCATGAGGGTCTTGGGGTACGTGGATTGCCCAAATCTTGGTTATAGAGATTTATCCATTTCTGTGTCACCTGTCTGACAAAAGGGAGAATTAGCCTTTTTTCAGACCTGTCTGAGTAAACCCAGTGAGCAGGAATGTAGCCATTAGCCCAAACTTAGACTTGCTTTTACTGTCTGATTAGATCTTCGCCTGAGTACATCTTTGAGACATTTCCCACACTGCTGGGTTTCTGGATGAGGAAGTAGAAAAGGGGAAAAACCTTGGTTCTGATTCAGTAATTAGTTATTAAATACAAGAGAGAAATGCTCATTTCTTTCACGAGTCACATGTTATCCGCCATCTTTGCTCCCTGCTGCCTCCCGTCGATGGTGGTCATCCCTTTCTCTCCTGTGCCATCTCACCCTCGGGCCTCTCCCAGAACTCTTCATTTTCCCGGAGGACGTTCTGCGCCAGGGTTATCTTGGTTCCATAGTCAGGAGCAGGGCTTTGCAGCTCCTTGGGGAAGTCCTAAAGCCTGAATGGGGTTAGTGATGTTTGGGAGAGGATGGTTTGGTTTTTCCTTTTTCCCAGGGTTGGTGGTTGTCTTTATTTGTCTCATTTACATATGCTTCCCATTTTAATTGAAAATGTTTGACTTTTTGAAATTCTGATATTAACAAGTACCAACTAAGCCGAGGAGTTCTTCTGTGAACATCGTAGAAAGGAAGAAGAGGACGGTATACAAGCCTCCCAATCTCCTCTGTCGCTCATTGTCTTCTTAAGAACGTTACAAATGCATCATGTAACTTATAGACACTGTTCTCTTGTCTGGGGCTCCTCATGGCCTTCCTTCTGTTCTTTTCTGTGCATTGAAACATGCTTCAGTCGTCCTCTTTCCCCCCCTTTTTGGGGCATTCTTGGGGTAGGGAGACGACTCCTCCTAACAAAGTCAAGCAAAATAAGTTTCCCCTTTGTCACATCTGAGAATCCACTTCTCCTTCTGCATTCTGGTCCAGAGAGGACCATTTGAACACAGCTGTGCAATGACTACCTGAGTTACTAAAATGAAGTCGACTGTCGGGCAGCATCTTGCATCTGTACGGCATTTGTTGGTGTTCGAGGCCTTTCCCGTGTCTGCATAGCTGTGTGTCTCTCTCTTAGCTTGATGTCAGGCTTTGTGAGAGGCCCAAGGCAGATGGCCAGGACAGAGCTGGCACCACCTGAGATCTTAGGAGAGCCCCTGGTTCTCGTGGGGGAGTTCAGGTGACCTGGGCCAGGTGAACTCCATCCTTGGGCACGAAAGTTACAGAGGCTTATGAAAGGGGAGATGTCCCAGTTTCCAGAAGAGGGAAGAAAAGAGAGTGGAATCTGCAAACATCAACCCAGTGACCTTCACTTGGGGATGGCTAACAATGTTCTAGACTGTGTTATGGGGGGGGGGATCAAATGTGCACCTAGAAGAGGAAGTGGGGTGGCCCAGAGGGGGTCACAGGCAGACAGCGAAGTGTCAGACACGCATGGCGGTCCTTTCTGCGTCAGGAGTGAGGGTTCCTTGAGTTGGGAATGTCTGAACAAATTGTGGTCCGGGAATGGAATACTCATGTGAGAAACCTGGGAAGACTTGTCTGACCTGATGCAGTGAAGTGAGCAGAGCCTGGAGAAGAATGTGCACAGTGACTGCGGCTCATCAACAGAGACAGCCCTGAAGGGTGGCCACACTGAGACCAAGGACAAAACCAGATAACTTCCCTCTTCTGAGTAGAGAGGGAGAGAGGGAAGGAAGGAGGGGAAGAGAGAGAAGGGAGGAGAAGGAAGGGAAGGAGGGAGAGAGGGAAGGAAGGAGGGGAAGAGAGAGAGAGAAGGGAGGGAAAGAAGGGAGAGAGGGAAGGAAGGAGGAAGAGGAGGAGAGGGGGAGAGAGAGAAGGGAGGGAAAGAAGGAAGGGAAGGAGGGAGAGAGGGAAGGAAGGGAAGAGAGAAAGGGGGAAAGAAGGAGGGAGAGAGGGAAGGAAGGAAGGGAAGAGAGAGAAAGGGGGAAAGAAGGAGGGAGAGAGGGAAGGAAGGAGGGAAGAGAGAGAGAGAAGGGAGGGAAAGAAGGGAGAGAGGGAAGGAAGGAGGAAGAGGAGGAGAGGGGAAGAGAGAGAAGGGAGGGAAAGAAGGAAGGGAAGGAGGGAGAGAGGGAAGGAAGGAAGGGAAGAGAGAGAGAAAGGGGGAAAGAAGGAGGGAGAGAGGGAAGGAAGGAGGGGGAGAGAGAAGGGAGGGAGGGAAGGAAGGAGGAAGAGGAGGAGAGGGGGAGAGAGAAAAGGGAGGGAAAGAAGGAAGGGAAGGAGGGAGAGAGGGAAGGAAGGAAGGGAAGAGAGAGAAAGGGGGAAAAAAGGAGGGAGAGAAGGAAGGAAGGAGGGGAAGAGAGAGAGAGAAGGGAGGGAGGGAGGGAAGGAAGGAGGAAGAGGAGGAGAGAGGGAGAGAGAGAAGGGAGGGAGGGAAGGAAGGAAGGAGGGGAAGGGGGGAAGAAGGAAGGAAGAGAAGGAGGGGAAGAGAGAGAGAAGAAGGAAGGAAGGGAAGGAGGGAGGGAGAGATTTACTAAGTAGCTACTATATGCCAAGCGCTTTACAAACATTGTCTCAAGCCTCACGTCCACCGTGGGAGAGAGATTCTTTCTTTTCTGATTCCCATTTTACAGTTGAGGACACTGAGGCAGACCGAGGCAGAATGGCTTGCCTGGCTCACCCGGCTCCTCAGCTTCTGGGGCTGGCTCCAGGCCCTGCGCTGTAGCCGCCATGCGGCCTCCCCGGAGGACGCGGGGGGTGGAATGTCACGTCGTTTGTCAGATGCTGGCTGTATTGGTTGGTTTTGCTACGTGTTCTACTTTCTTGTGGGGTAGGGCTCAGTGTGGGGCGGTGTGTACTGGAATGACCAGGATGTTTAGAAGACATCGATGAAATCGTTTTTTTTAAGAAAGAAAAGGAAGTGTGGTGATCATAAGGGACTGGCGCAGATAGTTTCATCAAAAACAGGCCATGCCAAATGAACATCATTTGCTCTTCTTTTCTCTCTTTCTTTCTTTTTTTTTTGGTGGGGCACTTGGGAATAAGGGACTTTCCCAGGGTCACACAGCTAGTATCAAGTGTCTGAGGTCATATTTGAACTCAGGTCCTCCTGACTCCAGGGCCGGTGCTCTATCCATTATGGTGCCACCTAGCTGCACCAGTCTTCATTTGCTTTTCATATAATGGTATGGCTCAGGCTTTTTGTCTGGATTTTAGCAGAGCGTTGGGCAAAGTCATGGAGAAATGTAGGCCTCGACAAGGGTGCATTTCAGAGCTTCTGCCTGGTCAACCAGGACTGCCGTGTTCAGTTCTGGGCTTCTCATTTGAGGAGAGACATCCTGGGCTGATGAGCTTCCAGAGCAGGGGGACCAGGTGGAGAAGGGCTTGGGATTCCTGCCACGGGAGAATCTGTCAGAGGAGCAGGGGCTTTGTTTGGACTTGAGAGGAGGTAGCTTAGGGGAGAGCTTCCTGCTACTTGCCCACGACTTGTCAGATGGAAGAGGGATCAGACCGGAGCAGCGGGTGCAGGTCGTAGCAGGGCAGCCTGGGACGGGATGTAAGGGAAAATGTTGTCACAGTGAGAACCATTGAGAAGTAGAGAGGCCCCGTCAGGAGGCCTTGGGTGTGTGCTCAGGCCTGAGCTGGGCCGGGTGGCCTCCGAAGGGCCGTGCTGGCCCTGAGTCGGACCGAGTCAGTTCCATATCTGCCGATTCCAAGTCCAGGAGTCCATGGGCAAACAATGGAGAATTCAGAGTGACGACTTCGTGTGCCGGCTCAGACGTTTCCCAGACAGGCCGGCCTCCCCAGCACGTCTGCCGGGTGGTCCTTCAGCCTCTGCTGCAGGGAGGCCCCCGGCCCACCGCCCCAAGGCCGCCCCGCACACATGGGCGCCATCTGTTTGTCCAGACTTGGTTTGCGATTCTGTCCTCGTGGCGCTGCCCTCATTGTGCACAGCTCAGTCTCATCTCTCATCTGTGTGGAGGTTTAGACTTGACCTCTGAAGTCCCTCCAGCTCCAAGTCTGTGACCTTATGACTCACAAGTGACCGCTCTTTGGGCCTGGCCATGCACTCATCCCTCTCCAGGAGCTCCGGGTAGAACACAGACCTGGAGCCAGGAGATGGCCCTGGCCAAGTCCCTCAGCCTCCCCTAGGACCCAGTGTCCTCTGCAGTCCCTTGTGATTAGACAGGCCTAAATCTGCCCTCTGGCAGTCTGCCTCACAAGAGCCACATGAGAACCATGGTCAGATGCTTTGTGAGGATCCTGGCCAGCCTACCAGTCTGCACACTGTGATGAAAAGGAAACAGAGCCAATCAGCAGAGATCTGAAGAAGCACCTACTATGTGCAAGTGCAGTGTTAGGCACGGGGAGCACAAAGACAGAAGAGAGCCGCCCCTGCCCTCCGGAAGGTGTTCCTCTGCCGGGGGAAGCAGCGTGTGCACACAGCATGAGCAGATGCCGAACGCCTACATACCTGGCAGTCTCAGTGGGGAAGTCTGCATAGTGGTGGGATCAGGAGCGGCCTCCTAGAGGATGTGGTGGTGAGTTGAGCTTTGAAGGAAGCCAGAAGTGAGGAGGGATGGCCTCCCAGGCAGGGGCAGCAGCCTGAGCAAAGGCCTGGAGATGGAGCAGTAAGGCTCGTGGGAGCTCAGGTTGCCTGGACCTTGGCGTGGTGGTAATGCATGACCGGCTTGGAAAAGTAGGCCAGAGCCGGGTGGCGAAGGGCTTTGCGTGACAGACAGAGGGTTTTGTATCTGATCCTTATGGTAATGGGGAGCCCCAGGAGTCTGTCGAATGAGGGGAGTGGCGCGGGTCAGCCCTGAACTAGAGGAAGAGCACGTTGGCAGTTGAGTGAGGACGAGCTGGCGTGGGCAAAGCTGCCGGCAGCGATTGCTGTGGAGCGGGCAGGAGGCAACGAGGGCCATGTCCGAGCAGAGAAGGGGGTGCAGATGAGAGGTATCCACAGTGCGGCCCCTCCGGGTGAACCTGACAGTCCTGTTCTTGAAGCCAGCTGGGATCTCGGGGCTCACCATTTCCTTTTCTAGATGCAGCTAGCCAGCTGTACTGGAACTTTGCAGGCAGGTCCTGTCACCCAGCAATATAATGGGTAGGATCATGCCCAGCCACCTACCTGACAGGGCTGCGGTGTGGCAAGCACGTTACAATCCTGAGGGCCCTGACCAGGGCTGGGACCTTTGAGCCGTGGGCCGTGCTCCAGGCAGGTAGCGGGGATCATTGCTGTCTGTGCGTCTGCCTCCCTTCCCACATCACGTTTCCTGCTCCTTCCTTTCCAGGAACGCGCTGTTGCCGCTGGCGTGCTCGCTGACCCACGAGGCCGTTACCCAGCTCATGCAGGCTGACCTGTCTGCCTTCAGGCAATTGCCCAAGCCAGAGAAAGTGGAGCAAGAGGAGGAAGAAGAGGAAGATGGAGTCGGCATCTCCTGTGAGTATCTTTGCTCTGGTCTTGGGGGCAGATAAGTCTAGGACTGTCCCATTTTACAGATGGAAAAAGCTTAGAGCCTGCTGGTGTGCAGGCTCCCTGAGGCACGGTCATCCGGCCTGTGCTCTAGTGGAGGGCAGCACCCCCATAGAAAGCCTTTGCTCACACCAAGCTCGCGCTCGCTGTCTGCAGCTCTCGCACAGCGCGGAGGATACTGCCCATGCTTCCGTAGTTCGTTAGGATTCGCAGAGCCCCCAGGCTCATTATCCTCCCCTGCTGCCCTCTGGTCAGTCAGCAGGCGGTGGTCACGTCCCTGCCGAGGCTCGTCCCCCAAGGCCGAGCATCTCCGGATCAGGAGCTGCATCCGGGCCCTTCCCTCTCCTGCCTGCTTCGTAGCTTAGCGAGCTCCTTCCCGAGCTGGGCCGCCCAGAGCTCACGCAGCGTCTCCTCTTGGTCGGTCTGGCTTGGCGTCACAGCCGGGGCGAGACCCCCGGAGCGTCAGCCATGTACAATCTGCCATCCCCACAGCCATACCATCTCTTCCTTCTCCCAAGTAATTGGCTACGTTTTAAAAAGCGGCAGCGCCGAGGATGGGTCCCAGGGCCCTCCCCTGGAGAGCTCCTTCTGGAGAATTGTCACCAGCACCCAGGCTTTGGGTTGGCCGGCCAGTTCTGAGGCCACATCTCTAACATTTCCAGGAGCTTATCATTTTGTCAGGTGCTCAACTGCGTTCAGATGCACTCTATCTGCGGCATTCCCACCCGCCATCTTGTGGATCCCTGCCAGAGAAAAAAAGCGAGTTAGCCTGGACTTGGTGTAAGGAAGAACTGGGTTTGAATCTCACGCTTGCTATCTGGGTGACCCTGGTCAAGTCACTCTCTGAGCCTCGGTTTCTTCACCAGTAAAGTAAGGATAATATTAAAGCATTTGATGATGGGGTGTAGTGAGTGGTAGGGACTAGAAAGCTAGCCTTGGAGCCAAGAAGCCCTGGGTTCCAATCCCACCTTTGATGCATCCTGGCACCGCGTGACCCTGGGCCCCCTGCCTAACCCCTCAGGGCCCCAGCCCCTGCACTGTGTCAGAGGAGCCTTCACTCCCCGCGTTGGTGGAATGGCCAGGCCGGCCACCTGGGAGGCTGGGTCTGGGTCTAGGGGGCCCCTGGCCAGCTTTGGCGCACTGTCCGGGGTTGATCCCCACCCGCTTGGCTGGCGGTTCGTGGGCTGTCCCTGGGGGAGCGTGCTCGAGGGTTTGGTGCCAGCCTGCCCCAGGCCGGTGGCACTACTCACCTTCCCCACAGGCTGTCTGTGGTCAGCTCCTGGGCCTGGTGACGGGTGTTGATCCCGGGGAGCTGGGGCTTCTTCCTGCCTCCCTCCTCTTCCTGGCCTTCACTTCCTTGGAAGCCACTGTTGTTCTTTCTCTCCACCCAGAGGACAGAGGCCAAGGAAGCAGGGAGTGGCGCTGCATTCCCGCACTTGCTCGCCATCCTCCTTCTGAACTTGGGTCTTGGCTCATCTTCTTGTGCCGTTAAAGCTAAGAATGCCCCGGAGCCGGCTCCTCCTGTGTGTCACGATCCTGGCCAGGCCCAGCTCTTCCTGGGCTCGGGCATCCCTGACACACACTTTTGTGTCTGTCCTCTCTCGCCTGGCCTGGCTTCCATCCTCTGGGGGGGCTTTAAAGATCTGATTCCCTGAGCAACAGCACAGCAGTCTAGGCATCCGTGGACGACTGAGCCTCCACTCTGAACCTCAGTGTCCTCGTCTACAAGCGGGAATGATGATTTCTGTGGCAGCTGCTCAAGAGGAAGAGGCTCGGAGGAGGCCACCGAGCGAGCATTTGCAGGGCCCACGGCAGCTGTTCCCACCTCTCAGAACCACTCGTCTTCAGACTCATTTCTGAGCATTCTGTATCCCTCTTGGGACGGCTTCCCCTGTGAAGCCTCAGGGCTGAGGTTCCTGTCGTCCCTCTGAACCTTTTGAAACGGGTTCTCTCACAATCAGGCTCTTGTTGAACTTTTCCTGACTCTTTTCTCCTTCAAATTACAAATTCTGCCATGGGAGGTTCACGTTGCCCCACCAATTTTCTCGATCAGTCAGCATTTATTAGGTGCCTACTGTGTGCCAGGCACTGTGCTCAGCTCTGGGGATACCAAAGGAGGCAGAAGACTGTCCCTACCCTCAAGGAGCTTACAATCTAACAGGGAAGACAACAGCTCTGTACAATGCAAGCTTAATGCAGGATGATTAGGAAATAACGAACAGCAGCAGCTAATAATTAGAGGCAGTGAGGCATGCTGGTTAGGAACCAGACCTGCTCCGCCTCCCCCATGAGGCTTCGTGACCCCCTCCCCATGCCTCAGGCCCATCTGACTGGACCCTGCTTTGGAGGAGGGCCTGTGTTCCCCTGGGAGTTCTGGGTGCAGCCTGTCTCCTGTCCTCCGTACACTTGAGCACACAGGTCCTCCTTGGGTGAGAGGCAGGGCTGGAATTGCTGTTTTCCTCCATATTTTGAAGAATGCCATGATCATTTAGGTGAGCCAGGACCTTGTGTCCCACGTTAGGAGCCTCCAGCAGAGAGATGGGGGACGTTGGAAGCTGCCCATCACGTTGGGCTGGGTCCCCGTGGGTGTGATCCCTGCCAGGCACCTGGCCTGCTTCTAGCGCACCTTGTCTTGCGGCCTGCAGGGCCGTCTCCTGTCATATGTAAGAGAATGCTAAGATCGACATCTGAAGTCCGAGGACCTCGTCACTCAAGCTTCTGCCTCCGCTGGTCCTCACCCACGCGGCAGTTCTTGGATTTTCTCGTAGGAAGATATCTTAATGTCCAGGCTATTCAGCACCCCTCCCCCTCCCCCAGCCTGTTCCATTGTGTAAGGCAGCAGTTCTGAAACTTTTTGGCATCAGGACCCTTTACTCTCTTAAAAATTATTGAGGACTCTCCCTCCTAGAGCTTTTATTTACATCTGTTGATGTTTACCATATTAGATATTGAAATGTATTAGTATCCTGAAATAGTTTTGGCCTTGCGGACACCCCCGGCGTCCTGCACCGACACCTCCCGAGCCATATTCTAATCCCGGGTCGAGTCCTGTCAAGCTTTAGTGATCTCTGTGATGTCAGAATTCCCACTTTGCTTGGGAGCCGCCCTTGGTGCGTCTGTGCTTAGACATCTGAGGCCATGGGCTCTTTGAGAACTTTGGGTCCCCCTCCCGGGATTCTTTCCCCTCTGTAGCTTCTCTCTGTGGGCCCTGGCTCAGGGGAGGTCCAGAGGCAGCTTTCTCAGCCCTTCCCTTTCATTTGAACTCTTGGTTGGAGTGGCTGTCTTGGTAGTAGAGTGTGTGTGTCTGCAGGCAGACATTCCTCACCTTCTCCATCCCTGTCCCACACCGGTCAGTTCCCGCTCTGACCCAGTCCCAGATAACATCACGTGCCACTTCGGTCAGTCCCGCTCTGACCCACTCCCAGATGACATCACGTCCCACGTCGGTCAGTCGCTCTCTTCCGCGCTCCCAGACGCCGTCATGGCCCACGTTGGTCAGTCGCTCTCTTCCGCGCTCCCAGACGACGTCACGTCCCACGTCGGTCAGTCGCTCTCTTCCGCGCTCCCAGATGACGTCACGGCCCATGCCGGCCTCTCTCCCCCTGGCTGTCACTGGGCAGCTGAGATGCAGTCGTCACTCACATTGTACGACAGTGGGCCCTCACTTCTCCCCCACCATCTTGTGTTTGTGCCTGCATGAATCTTGGGCGGTCCCGAGATATTGCAGCATCACGGTTCTAACCTTCAGACAGAGGAGCAGGTGTGACCAGAGGTCACACTGGGCCCAGGATCGAGTCTGGCTGGACTGGCAAGGGTGGAGTTCAGGGCAGCATGTGCTCCCAGGGAGCCAAAGGCAGTGGCCTGGTGGACAGTTTTATTGTTGGCTAAATCCCATGTGGTCGGGATACTGAGTGTTTTTTCCAGCAGTAAAGTGTAGGCCCCTTGAGGCCGTGGGCTGGTTTTTCTTGTCTTTGTGTCTCCGGTGCCTGTGAAATCTGTCAGCACGTAGTAGGTGCTTAATGAAGCCTTATTGGACTAGACTGGATTGAATGTCTGGCAGCTGGTATGTCCATTCTGGGGCATCATGATAACCATATTGTTGGCATAGAATGCCATAACCATTTCCTTATTACGTTCTTGTCCAGTGTCTCCTCTCGACCGCTTTGCCCTGGAGGCTTGGCCACCTTGCCCGCCTCCCAGGGGTCATGCAGACTGGCCCCTGGCAGCGGCCCCCTCATCCGGGGCCTCGGGCTGGATTGTCCCTGCTTTTCCTTATAATTCCCCTGGTCGGGTGTGATCACATTCTTTCCCAAATTTTTCTAAGTGGCCAAAGTTCTGAATTTTTGTTCCAGACGTGATAGCAGGGCACGCGCCCCAAGTGTGCTGACTTGTATTAGCTGGCGGAGCTGAGGGGGTGGGAGGACACACAGAGCACCTGAGAAAACAGCCCTGATTGTGGGCTCAGCAGAGGCCCCGACCCCCAGGCCCCCATCTCTTCTGCCCGGGAAAGCCTTGGTCCCTCCTCTCCTCACGGCCCCCTGCTGGTGGAAGGTAAGGCCGCTGAGTGCCTCTACAAGGTCATGCTGGTGACCCAGGACCCTGCAAGGCCTCTACCTAGGACGGGCACAGCCCGCCCCTGAACCCTGGCACAGCCCCTCTGCTGGGAAGGGACAGGTGTTAGCAGGGCCACTGTAGTCAAGCAAGCAAGCCTTTATTAAACACCTCCTGTGAGCTGGCCTCGTCCCTGCCTGCCCCCGAGGACCTTACGTTCTCTGGTCGTTCAGCAGGGAGCTCCCTACGCATCTGCATCTGGACAGAAAGGATAGCTGTCCTCCAGGGACTTCTCTGCTGCCGAGGAACGACCTAATTCTGAGTTTCTGTCTGTCGCTGAGGATGAGACCCCAGTAATTCACAGCAGGAGAGGGGGGTCGAGGAGCCCCCTGGATCTGGGAGACATCCTGCCCATGGTTTTCTGAGGAGCCGGCAGTGCTGTCCCCAGGGCTACGCTTGGTTTTGGCTGCCTTGAGCAGGGCCCTGTGACTGAATCCAAACTTCACAGAAACCCCCTTAATAAAAGGATTTGTTCTGTGAAATTTGGACAGTCAAATGGCCGCCCCCGAGAACCTAGAGGGCCACACGTGGCCTCGAGGCCGCAGGTTCCCCACCCCTGCGGGTTGTGTGGGTGTCCCGCAGGGTCACCCCCCCAGGCACCCCTCCAGGGTAATCGAGTCTTCCTCCTCTAGGGTCTCGGTGTGGGAGAACTTCGCCTTCCGACTGCTGGGGGCAACACTTTCTTCCTCCTCTCTTCACATCCTGCAAGCACGCAGTCAACAAGCATTTATTAGATGCCTGCTGCATGCCAGGGTCCAGACACTATCCTTATGATTCGCTTCCTGATGGGAGCACAAGTACCTATGAAAACATCAACAGCTGAAGTCTAAAGAAACACAAGTATTTACAAAGCAAGTTTGCAAAATCCAGTGTCGTTTAGGAAGGAGGGCACTTGCAGCGGGGGAATCAGGAAAGGCTTGATGGAGACATCTGCAGCTGAGATAGTTAGAAGGCAGTCTGGACAGGCGTGTGGAGATGGACGAGGGGGCGATGGGGAGGATCCCACCGGAGTTAGGCCGGATCCCAGAGACGGCAAGGGGCTGTAAGGACGGTCAGTCGGGCCAGGTTGTGAAGGGCTTTGGAAGCCAAGTCAACATTTGATTCTGGAGGCGGGAGGCACCCGCTCAGGTTGGTCAGATAAGGGAGTCACCTGGTCAGAACCGGACATGAGGAAAGTGACCGGCGGTGCGTGTAGGATGGACTGGAGGCGCATCAGGAGGACTTTGCAGTAACCCAAGTGAGAGGAGATGAGGGCAGGCGCGTGAGCGGAGAGACCAGGCTGGAGGCAGGAGGCAGCACCTGGGACAAAAACAGGGATGTCTGGGAGACGGGAAGGCTTGGGGACAAAGATCCCGGAGTTCCCCATGGTGTCCCTGACCAGCGTGAGTCACCTCTGCTAGGAGCTTCCAGGGACCAGGCCTCTGTATCTCTGAGGTACCCTTTATGAGGACATTTTTCTTTCTATCTGGCTGAGGCTGACACCTCCCTTCCCTCAGGGCAGGCCGAGCAGAGGCTTGGCTCTTTTCCATGACAGCTTCTCACCCCTGGTCCCTTCTCCATCTGTCACCACACAGCAGAGTCCTAGGCCTCGTCCCGTCCAGTCCTCCGCTGTGGCAGGGCCCACCCAGAGAGCCTGGTGCCTGTCTCTCGGGCTGACTCCCCTCAGGAACATGGAAGTTAGCTTCTCATCATGCCTCCTGGCGTCTTCTGCTGCTGGAGGGGACTTTGGGGCACGAGGTTAGGACTTGCAGTCCGCCGGCTCGGGTCACCTGAATGGATTCAGGCCCCCTTCTAGCCTGCTGAGGTCTTCCTGGATTCTAGGCTGGAGCCAGGTGGAGCTCCCAGCCACGTTGCCCCGTGGTGGACGCCCCACACTTCCTGGTGGATGTTTGTTTTGTTCTTCCACGTGACCGGGACATGTGCATGCCCCTCCTCGGCCACCACCTTGACCCCCGGCTCATGGGAGAGCTTGGCTGGGACTGCTCCTCCTTTCCCTGGCTTTGCCCTCTCCCTCAGCCCGTCCAAGGACCCAGCACCGCCATTCTCATGCTGAGTAAATGTTCCAAGACCTAAGGAGACAAAACACTTACCACGGGGGGACTGACCCCAGGCTGCGGCTACCCCGGAAACCCCAAGCTCATGCCTCGGAGAAATATCCTGGTTGTGGATGCTTGGCTCAGGCTGGCCTTTTCATTCTTGATGACAGCTTGCGACCACCACCTTGCCTCTCCTACTGCCCCTTCAGCCTTTTGGGACCACGTCTGGTCCTCAGCTCCCACGTTGGGGTCGCAGTGGTCGCCTGATGTCCCCCTGAAGTTCTGGACCTGGCTCTCAGAGCTGCCATTGCCAGCTCACGCTGAGGCTGGCACGCTGAGGCTGGTGCACCAAGGCTGGCCGAGCCCTTTGGAACGGCCTGCCCAGGGAAACCACCGGCCACTGTTCCCTTTGACAGATGGGTGCCTGGAGCCCAGAGCAGAGTCACAGAACCATGGAGTTGGCAGAGACCCGAGACACCATGCATTCCAGCCCAGATGTGGAAGAGAATCCCCTCTGGGAGTTTGCGTGGGCTGGCAGGTGGATCACTGGACGTGGAATCAGATCCCAGGCCAGACAGTCCATCTCCAAGCCTCGATGTCCTCATCAGTAAAATGGGTATAGTGGTACCTGTTGTACCCTCCCCCCAAGGGATTGTTGTGAGTCTCTGATGAGATCACGGGGGTGTGTGTGTGGTGTGTGTGTGTGTGTGTGTGTGTGTGTGTGTGTATGTGTGTGTGTGTGTGTGTGTGTAAAGTGATGTACGTGTTGGCAGTGAGAACATTCCTTAGCCCAGCTTTCCAGTTTTATTTCTCTCTTTATACTCCCTCTGTGCCCACAGAACTGGGCTCTTTCCTGCCCTAGGTGTGGCAGAACAGGCCTTAGAGCAAAAGCACCAGCCCTGACCCCTGATCTCTTCCCTGTGTGACCCTGTGTGACCCAGACCACGCCCCTGCCCCACCCCAGACCTCTGTTTTCTTGTGCTTCAGGGGAAGGGCTTGGGCTGGAGGACCCCTGCTGGTCCCCTTTGACCTCTGAACCCTAGGATGCTGCCACCACCCTTCCTGCACGTGCAGCCAAGGTGCCCCCGTTACCCAGCAAAGAGCATCTCTCCCTATTCTTCACGCTTTGCCTCCTAGCACTCACTTTTCCCCTCAACTTAATAGTATTTTATTTTTTCCAATTACATGTCAAGATAATTTTCAACATTCACTTTTATAAGATTCTGAGTTCCAAATTTTTCTCCCCCCAAGACAGCATACAATCTGATATAAACTATACATGTATTATCATGTTAAACCTATTTCCACGTTAGTCATGTTTGAAAGAAGAATCAGAACAAAAGGGGAAAACAACGAGGAAGAAAGAAAAAAGTCAAATAGTCCGCTTTGATCTGCACTCAGATTCCACCGCTCTTTCTCTCGATGTGGATAGCATTCTCCATCATGAGTCCTTTGGAAGTTTCTTGGATCGTTGTATGGCTGAGAAGAGCCGAGTCTGTCGTAGTGATCGTTGCACGGTGCGGCTGTTACTGTATCACTCGTTGTTCACATTCTGACTCTCCCCTGTTCAGTCTGAGACTTGTCAGGCACAAGGCCTGAGCCCTCAGGGAGACTTCGCTTGGGTCTCTGCACACACGGGCACTTGATAATGTTCCCTAGGACAGTCACAGGACTTGGAGTTGGAAATTGAATTAAATGGGGGAATTAATCTGGATCATAGCACTAGAAAGCTAGAGCAGGCCTTGGAGAAGGGGCAGCCTAGTTTTCTTGCTTCGTAGAAAAGACAAAGGAAGCCCAGAGGTCCGAGCTCTGAGGCCCCCACCAGATGCCCGCTGCCCGAGCTGAGCCGGCACAGCCTGCCACAGGCCCGTGGCTCCATCGGCTTCCCTGTCTGACGGGCTGATGGCAGAGCCTGTGGCGCTCACGGCCCGGGCACAGAGGCACCAGGGCCGTGACCTTCCCTTTGTCTCCTCTACCCAGTGCTGGATGCAGAGAGCCTGCGGCGGTGTTTCTTCAGTAAGCTTTGGGAAGTTTGTAGCCGATGGCAGAAGCAGATGCCAGCCCCTTCCAGATGCGCTTCTCGTTCCTGGCTGACCTCCATCCATGCCATCCGAAATACCCGCCGCAAGATGGAGGACCGCCACGTTTCCCTTCCCACCTTCAACCAGCTCTTTGGTTTCTGTGTAAGCATCTTGGTTCCAGCTCCCTTCACAGCCTTAAGCCCTTGGAGGGGAGGAAGGGGGGACGGTTGTCAGGCACTGGCAGAAGCAGGGGCCAGCTCTGCACAGTTAAGGCTGGCCTTGCCCATTGGGAAGTTTTATAGGGTAAACTGAGCTGTAGGGGGGGTTTGGTGAGGAATGGGGATTATGCCCAGGGAGTCTGTGGTGACCATAGACTAGAATCAGAATCTTAGATCTGGGACGGGCAGCAGAGTCCATCTGGGCCAGCCTCCCACTCAGTGTAAGGGTCTCCTGAACAACATTCCTCCCAAGTGGTTGCCAAGCCTGATTTCCATCGAGGAATCACTGTGTGGAAACATACACACGGTGTCAGCATAGACTGATCATCTGGGGCCTAGGGAGCCAAAGTCCATCTCTCTAACTTCTGAAAGGGTGCTGCTTTGTTCAGTCATTACAGTCGTGTCCAACTCTTTGTGGCCCCATTTGGGGTTTTCTTGACAAAGATGCTGGAGTGGTTTGCCATGTCCTTCTCCGCTCATTTTACAGATGAGCAAACTGAGGCAAATGGGGTTAAGTGACTCGCCCAGGGTCACAGGGTCTGGGGCGGGATTTGAATTCAAGAAGATCATCTTCTTGACTCCGGGCCTGGCGCTCTATCCACTGCACCACCCAGCTGCTCCAGAAAGGGTGCTTGGCACGTTCTAACATTATTCTTAATCATTTTACCATAGAACATCAGAGTGAGAAGGGGCCTTAGAACCTGGAGCAGAGAATGTCAGAGCCAGGAGGGCCTCAGATCCTAGAATGGAGAGCGTTACTCTTGCACCACCTTCCAGTTTGGTCTAGGCCAACCTACTCATTTTACTGAGAGAGAAAATGAGGCTGGGGGAGATATTGGCCATGGGCAGGTTTCAAGGAGAGTGCGTGACGGGTGCTGGGCCAGAACACGGCCCCCCTGACCTCTGTGCTTCTTTCCTGCTGACCGAGTGCCCTTCTCTGAGATCTCTGAGTGATGGGCAGCATGTCCACCAAGGAATGGAGGCTCCCTCAAAGAGGCCTTTCTAAAACTGGTTCCTCCCAGGACAGGGAGAACAGAAAGAAAGGGCTGCCATTGCTAGGGTTCACATCATAGAACTCAAAGTCCTTCCTGAGTACACAGCCACATGACAAGAATCTATTCTTCCAGGCAGGACCTTCCTGAAAGTCACAGAGCGGTGGGATTTTAGATCTGGAAGGAGCCTTAGAAACAGTCTAGCCCAACTCTGTCATTTTATTGATGAAGAGGTTGGGGGCCAGGCCACCCAGCGAGTCAGTGGTGGAGCCAGGATCACACTCAGGACCCCTGACTGCCGGCCCCACTTCCCAGAGATGGGAGGTTTGACAACAGGAAAGGCAGCTGTTTGCTGGTCTGTGTCGTAAGGCCTAGGATAGAACAATTCGATTTTATAGACACTGTCTGCTGAGGGAAGGTATGGGGCTTGAAGAGAAGGCCTGGAGCAGCCATGAGGGTGCGTGTCCAGGCCCCTGGACCACCCCTTCTGTGCTGAATGCAGCCCTGCGCCCCAGGGCCACTAGCAAGGAGTGCTTCCTTGCACTGATGGGCAAGGCTGGGAAGGGTCACTCAGCAGATCTCTGCCTATGGGTCTGTTTTCCCAGGACCAAGTGGATCGAGCCTACTTTGCTGTTTTTGATGGTCATGGAGGAGTCGATGCCGCCAACTACGCTGCAGTCCATTTGCACGTTAATGTTGCCCGGCATCCAGAGGTGACCAGAGATCCCGCAGAGGCCCTCAGGGCAGGGTTCAAGCAGACCGATGAGATGTTCCTCCGGAAAGCCAGGCGGGAGGTGAGAGCCGTCAGGCCAGATGCAGGCCTCATCCCTCCTGGCAGGGGGCCCAAGGATGAGCTGAGGCCCTGTACTGTGACTCAGTAATAAGAAGCAGCTGGTTTGTCATCCTTGCTGCAAAGGAAGGAGAACAGGGTGGTGCTTTGTGCCCAGACCATTTCTGTCTGAGCCAACGGCGAGGAAGAGTAGGCTTTCAGGGAGCTCACTCACTCTGGGAGATTTGTTGAAGGTCTGTGATCTCATTTGTCCCCTGGCATACAGGCCCCTCAGTATAGTGGCCCAAGAGCCAAGGGGCCCTGGGCTCTGACACCATCAGTCACTAGCTCTCTGTGCTCCTGGCAATCCTGAGGTGCTCCAGGTGCAGAGAAGGAGCGGACCTACCTAGGTAAACGGAGTCTCCTCTGGGAGTGTCTCATGCCACCCAAATCACAGGTGTAGCCCTGTCCCTCTCTCCTTCTAGAAGGTCAGCTGCTCTCTCCAAAGTGACCAGTGTTCTGTCAGCTGCCAAATCCAGTGGCCTCTCTCCATCTCCAATCTCAGACTTTCTGCAGCCTTGGACACTGTCCATCACTCTCTCCTCCTGGATCCTCTCTTCTCTCTAGGTTTTCAGGACTCTGGCTCTCCTGGTTCTCCTCCTCCCTCCCTGACCTTGGCTCCTTCTCTGTCTCCTTCTTTGTCTCCTCCTCCAGATCATGCCCTGTCACCGTAGGGGTCCCTCAGGGCTTTGTCCTGAGCCCTCTTTTCTTCTCTGTCTGTGCTACTTTACTGGGTGATTTCATCAGCTCCTGTGGATTTAATGACCATCTCTATGTTTACAATTCCCAAATTTATCTGTTCTGCCCCAGTCTCTATGCTGACCTCCAGTCTTGCATCTCCAACTGCCTCTCAGACACCTCCATCTGGATGCCCAGGAGACACTTTACACTCAGCATGTCAAAAACTGAACTCATCATCTTTCCCCCAAACCATTCCCCTTCCCTTCCCCTCCCCCCCCTTCCCTTTTACCATAGAAGGCATCCTCAGGCTCCCAACCCTGTAGTCATCCTGGATCCCTCACCATCTCTCACCTCCCCCTGCCCCCCATACACCTATCCAAGCTGGTGCCAAGGCCTGTCCCTTTCACCTCTGCAGCTTCTCTTGTCCCTTTCACCTTTGTAACATCTCTGGTCCATTTCACCTCTGCAGAATATCTCCTTCCCTCCTCTGACACTGCCACGTCCTTGGGGCAGGTCCTCATCACCTCACACCTGGACTGTTGCAGTAGCTGCTAGAGGGTCTGCTGCCCCCAGTCTCTTCCCACTCTAATCTATCCTCCATTCAGCCACCAAAGGGATTTTCCTGTAGCGCAGGTCTGACCACGTCTCTCTCACACACAAACACATGCCACCTCCCCCCCGACTCAGTAAACTCCCATGGCTCCCTAGATTGCTGCTGGTATTAGTCTTACCTGACAGGGAGGAGACAGAGGCTCAGAGAGGGAAGTGACTGACTTACTAATCCTGCTACTAGTAAGGGCTGCAAGTAGGGTTGGAACCCAGGGCTTCTTGCCTCCCCACCCGCTAAACCACACTGTCTTATACCTGGCTCTGAGATTGAGCTGCCTGGGTCATTGCAGATTTGGGCTGGCTGGGATCAGTGAAAAGGCTGGTGTTTATAGGGTCTCCAGGAAGGCCCATGCCTTATTGGTTTACATCCATACAAGCCCATTGTCCAGACCCAGGAAAGGGATGGTCCTGCGGCCCTCTGCTGTGGTCAGACCCCATCCTGAGCATCAGGCTTGCTTCTGGGAACCCCATTTTAGGAGGGTCATTGACCAGAGGAGGGCAGGACAAAAAGGTGGAGATGCCCACCCTGCAAGGATGGCTTTGAAGAGCTTGCAGGGCCAAGGTACAGCAGCTGTCTCCAGAGCCTTCTGAGCCCATCGTATGGAGGAGAGACTTTCTCCAGGAATGTAGCTGGAATGGTTAGATCTGGTGGGGAGACTGAGGGAGGCTGATGACAGGGGCAGTCTACTGGAGGCAGACAGGATGGGGTGGAACCAAGGGTGCCAGCGTTGCCTGTGGGCCGGGGTCTGCTGAAGCCAGAGAGGGAGAGTGCTTCACATGAGAGAATATCTGAGCGATGGCAGAGGAGGATACTCTTGGGGAGAGGTCACCATTATTTTTGTGAAGTGATTCAGCTCTGGAGGCAGGGCTGGGGGCACCATAGGGGGTCTGAAGAGGGACAGAGAGGATGCTGTGCAGAAGATAATGCTTCTGCTAGTCTTCCTTGTACTCGGTGGGAATCCTACACATTGGCTTTCCCAACATTGACTTCCTGTCCTCTCTGTCGTCTTGTAGAAGCTTCACAGCGGCACCACAGGGGTCTGTGCGTTCCTTGTGGGACGCACCATCCACGTGGCCTGGCTGGGAGACTCCCAGGTCATGCTGGTGCAGCAGGGGCAGGCCCTGGTGCTGATGGAGCCTCACAAGCCCGAGCGTGAGGTAAGGACCTGGAGGAGAGTCCCCAAAGAGAAACTGCCCTAGGTGACAGCCCTGACTGCCAAGGGCATGACTGCAGTCCTCAGTTTACTCCTCTGTAAAGTGGGAATGACATACTGGAATTACCTACCTCACAGGTCATTGGTAAACTTTAGAGTGCTATGAAAACAGGAATTCTGATTGCCCTTGCTTTCCCCAGCTGCCCACTGTGCCCAGAAGTTTAGCCAGGCCCTGGTTTGGCCCCGGGATTGGGTGAGGGCTGAGAGGGTTACAGCCGGTGACACCAGGGTGCTCCCAGTGGCAGAGGCAGGAGGCTCGCGAGGTACAGAGGGGCCATGGGCACTAGCAAGGGGCAGCATTAGGACTGGCCCAGGCAGGCCTGAGGACATCTCCAGCTTGGGTGATCTCAGCTTCTCGCGTTCTGTAATAGGCAGCCAGTGCTCTCTTGGTCTTGGGCCTAAGGCCCAGTTTTCTGTTGCCTTGACCTGAGCCGGCGTGGGGGCAGACCCAGGCCAGGAGTGACCCTGCTGTCCCACACCTGAGCTGAGCCAACAGTGGGACTGTCCGGAGAGCAGCTAAGACTCTGGAACTGTTGTGGGCTGGCGCCATGGCACCCTGGGCTGGAGGCAGCCTCCCCAGGCCCCAGTGGGGCGGCTCCAAGTGACTCACAGGATAGCATGGGAGCTGGCGGTTAGGAAGGGCCCACTGGGGAAATGGAGGCAGATGGGCACCCTCTGGAGGGAGCACTTCCCAGTGCCCGGAGCTAAAGGCCAGAGCCTGAAGGCTTCAGGTTGGGCTGACCGCTTGTTAGAGATGCCCTGCTTCAGCTCAGGCTTGGGCTTGTCTGTCCTGAAGATAGTGCGAGGGGCTGCCCAGGTGACCCCAGAGAGAGCCTTCAAGGTGGTGCTGCCCCTGGGATGGCCTGTGGAAAGTGCTGGAGAGATGGCGGCAGCATCCCTGGAGCCTGTGGAGGTTGGCTGTGGCTGCAGGCTAGTAGAGCCCCTCATCTGGCAGCTCGTCAGCCAGGGCACCCAGCTCCTCTGTTTTCTTCTAGGATGAGAAGGAGCGCATAGAGGCCCTGGGCGGCTTTGTGTCCTACATGGACTGCTGGAGAGTCAACGGCACCCTGGCTGTTTCCAGAGCTATCGGTAAGGAGGCCTTCAGTGGCTTGGCATCGATGAAGTGGGGGGCAGCAGGGAGAGCCCTAGGGCCACCGTCAGCAGTGGTCAGGGACAGGTCAGAACAGGTTCCCTGTCTCTGCTGGCCGTGCCTGGCCTCCGTGGTTGCAGACTGGGCAGGCCAGGTGTTCAGGACTGGCTTCCGGAGGACATCTCTTGTGGTGGGGCCTCTGGAGGCCTGGAGATGCAGAGGGGCCAGGGCAGGTCCCCAGGGCCAGGCAGGCCAGGCCCCGCTTGGTACAGGAGTTTCCTCCAGAGCAGGCCCAGGGGGCTGCCCGGCCTCTCCCCATAGATCACTCCATCCCACGATGGCCCTTCAGATGTTAGGCACCACAGATTAGTGGGCGGATCTGAAGGGTGAATCACCTCCATGCTGTTCCTAGATGGTGGTCCTCTTGCCCCCTTGAAGACCTGCAGTGACAGCAACCTCACTACCTCCCACGGCACCCCATTCACCTTTGGGACAGCTTTGATTGTGTGGATGGAGTCCCCACTTCTGCTCCTCCTCCTGCCTGCTGAGGCTGAGCAGAGCCAGTCTGATCTCGCTTTTATGTGACGGTCCTTGCCATGTTTGATGGGGTGTGGTGTGCCTCGGCTGCCTTGCCCCCGCTCCCCCAAGGAGCGCAAGGTTGCCTTCTCTGAGCCCGTGCCTTTAGGATCGTGTTTTCCGTTTTGTTTCCCATTTTGCCTCCCTCAAAGGCTGGCTGTGTAGACACAGCTCTGTGGAGGAGGCCTGAGGGAGCGGTCCCCAGTGACCCCTGGCTGGCAGTGGAGGGCTGCGGAGCCCAGGTCTGGGCTGGATCGGCCTTTGCCCGCACAGATGTTCATCTGTCACTCCCCTGCCCCCTCAGCCTGTCCCCAGAGGGGGCCCTGCGTTGGATTCCTGGGGGCTTCATGTTGTCTTCCCTGGCCTTGTGTGGTGCCATCTGCCTGTCCTGGCCTCCCTCCTTCAGGCCCAAAGCCAGACCTCTCTTCCTTTGCATCCTCTACCAGGATGCCCTATTCTTGAGGCCCTCAGGCTCCGAGGTCCCCACGTGACACCCACAGGTCGCCTTGACTAGGACACAGGGTCAGCGAGTCACTCTCACCCCCTAGTTTTAAGGCTGACTGGGTTGGAGTCATTATTAGGGTACTCCCTAAAAGCCAGTGTGCTGATGAGGGGTACTTATGAGACGTGAGGGGTCCCGGCCAGGCTCCCCTGCTCAAGCCACATCCCCTTTTCAGATTGTGGTAGCTCAAGGGATAGGAATGATCCTAGGGGGTGAGTGAAGGTCGGGGAGGTTTGGGCCAGAATTCCCAGTCAGCACGGTGGAGGCTTTTAGGCAGAGCCCGAGGCCGGACCGAGAACTGGACCAAATGGTTCCTCGATGGGCCCCCTCCTTGGAACAGAGAAGCCCCAGCTCCTGTCCTGGCCATGCTGGCCATCAAGGCTAAACACGTTGACACTTCATATGTGCCAGGCCCCAAGGAGAGGCAGCCACAGTTACGTGGAAGCAGCCCTCACTCGGGAAGACTAGCACACAGCCGGCCTCGAGGCCTGAGGGACGGACCAAGGATGAGGCATCCCTTTGGCCTACGGGCAGGCAGGGGTGGAGAAGGCATCTTCAGTCTGGGTTTTGGTGATCATCTGCTTCCTTGTTCTAGGGGATGCCTTCCAGAAGCCTTACGTGTCTGGCGAGGCTGATGTGGCCTCCCATGAGCTCACGGGCACGGAAGACTACCTTCTCCTGGCCTGTGACGGCTTCTTCGACTCCGTCCCGCACGATGAGGTCGCCGGCCTGGTGCGTGACCTTTTGGTCCAGAGTGAGGGCAGTGTTCTGCGGATCGCGGAGGAGCTGGTGGCGGCTGCCCGTGAGCGGGGCTCCCGTGACAATATCACTGTCCTGGTGGTCTTTCTCAGGGACCCCCAGGAGCTTCTCAACGACTGCATTCCTGAGGCAGCACATGCCCAGTAGGACCCGAGTGCGGGAGCCTCAGTCTCTGCCTTCGTGGGGCTCCAGAATGGCACTCTGGACAGCAGCTTGGGACTCCGAGAGGTCCTGCGGTGTGGGCACTCCCTCCCCCTGCTCTCCTGCCTCCCCACCACAGAATTCCTTAGGAAATGAGGGGCCACAGTAGGACATGGAGGCCAGGCTGGGCTGTTTTCTTCAGTGTTACTAACCCTTTCCCAGGGGTCTCATGTCCAGTGCCCCCCTCCCAGAGCTGTGAAAACTGGGTTCCATCCTATACAGTTAGGTCAAGGGTCCCCTGAATTCTCAGGAGAGAAATGTCCCAAACAGTTACCAGTTATTACCAAAGAAAGCGTTCTGTAAAGCTGCCTGCCCTCCTCGCACCGGGTCAGTCCTGGGCAAGTGTTCACAGGCCAAACAGCGAAAGACAAGCAGGTTGGCCCACGTACAGGCCCAGCCCTCCCCTCCTGGGGCAGAGGAGGAGCAGGAAAGGGGAGCCTCCCACCTGCCTTCCCCGCCTCCTCAGCAACCCCCCCCCCCAGGGTCAGCACTGGCCACCTGGGCAGGCCGGGCCCTCTGGTCCCCTCTGTTACCAGCCCTGCATGCCAGGGCAAGCCAGGTCTCCTGGTCAGTGCCCCATGAGCTTGACTGGGCTGAATGTGAGGACAGACCCTTCCTGGGCAGTGTTACTTTGCAGTAGTTTTATTTTCAAGAAGAGGATGTAAAAGAAAAGCCTTTCTAGTGGCTTTGCCAACCCTCCAAGTGCCTTCAGCCACCTCGGACGGGAAGTCACCAGGTGCACAGCTTAAGGTTTGAGGAGGGAGACGGTGTCCCACGCTAGAGGGGGCAGGAATCCAGCCTTACCAAGGGCTTGTTTGTAAAATGGCCCTGGGGGAGACCAGGGATTTTCTCGGAGTGTAAAGCTGGGGGGGGGGCGGTGTCCCAGGAAGAACAGGGCCCTGGGGGCTTTTTAGGAATGGCCTGAGACATCTGTTACCCACCTGGCTTAGCCTGGAGATCTTGACACGACTTGCTCCCTTCCATTATGCCTCACTTTCCTTTTCTGTGAAATGGGTGGGTTGGAGTCGTGCATCACAGAATTGGAAAGGAGTCAGAAGTCACGTAGTCCAGCCTTTACGAATCTCTCGTCCTGTGTCCCCGACCAGCGGCCATCCCGCCTCCAGGGAGGGAGGCCCACGAGCTCCTCCTCCTCCTCCAAAGGCTCCAGTTTACTTGGAGGCTTCCGATGCTCGAGCTCCCTGTGGACTGCTCCCTTCCCAGCCTGAGCCTGTTTCTTCCTCTGCCCAGTGATGCGGGTGATTTCTGTGACCTCTGAGCCAGGATCCAAGACCCCGTGGCTGCCCTGGGTTTGGGTCGGCGTCTTCTGTTGGGAAGACCCCTGGCTTCTGCTGACGGTTCTCGCTTGCTGCGGGCTTGCCAGCAGCAGTTCCCAGGGTCATTTTGACCCAAGCTTGGCTTCGTTGTGGAGATGGACTCCAGGGCGAGAGGGCCTGGCCAGGCTGTAGGGAGGCAGAGGGTCTGGTCTTGCCTCCCAGGTCTGTTCTTGAGCTCTCGTGGTCCCCAGTACCCAGTCTGGATGTCCCTGCCTGCAGTGCCCCAGAAGAAAGGCCTGGGAGGGATTGGACGGCTCCTCTCCAACAGCGAGGAGCTCACCCCCTCCGTGCCATTATCCAGGGGCATGTGTCATGAAGATGAATGTCAGCTGGGGGGAGGTTCCAGGGAAGTCAGGAGGAGCTCTCCGAGCTTGGCCGGTAGTGTGCAGAGGCCCTGCTGGCTGCCTTGGCTGATCTCACCCTGTCCTTGGTTCTGAAGCCTCTCAGTGGGCAGACCCAGAGCCATGTTCTTCCCTTCTCTGTTGGTCACTTGGTACCTTGGAGGCAGCCGGTGGGGAAGAAGGCCCTCTAGCCCTTGGCTATGACTGGTGTGGACTGCTTCCTTGTTCTCTCCTTCCATTTCCCTCGTTCTGCTCAAAGACGTGGGCCTCACAAGGAATGGCTGATTCACAGATGCTCCATCCCACGCTGACTGACTGTGTCTGCTCCTCCCCTTCTGAGAGTTGTCATCCCTTCCTCGCCCATCTTGGGGCCCAAGGGAGCGCTTCATGCAAGACACACTGCCACCCCTGTGAGGTCCACCTTGGAAGCCAGGCTGCTGTGCACAGAGAGGGAGAGGAGAGAATCGCAGGATCCTCGGTCTGCACTCCCTCTCCCTCAACCGTTTCCCTGTGGAAAACGGTAGAGGGTGAGGCTGGTTTCTAGGGACACCCCTCAAGTCCACAGTTGTTTACCAGACACTTGCACTTTGCAAGACCCCGTTAGTGCTGGCATGCTGCACCAACCACTTAGCCAGTGTAGACCACACTTGCCTCCCCGACCCCGTGGTCTTGGAAGGACTGACAAGCAGCTTGTGGCTGGAGCTGTTCCTGACCTTCCCAGGTCAGCATTTGCCAGAGCTGTGCCCTTGAGAACCCAGGCTCTGTCTCCACCCTGTAATAAGGCCATGGAGAAAGACAGCTCCTTTCTGGCTCAGATAGACTGGTGGGCTAGCCTGGAACCCAACCACGGGGTCCTAACTTGGTGCCTTTCCAGGTGGGCCTGGCCAGGTCCACCCCACCTGACATCCTAGATATCCTAGCTGCTGCCTCGATCAGCCCCAGGGAAAGTGAAGGTACTCTAGGGTTTAGCCAGCCTGGCATCTTCTGTCTGTCAGTTGCTTGATGCCCCTTCCAGGCTGGGTGCAGGGCCCTGAGGAGTACTGGTGGCCACGTGGGACTGAGCCTGAGGGTCCTCGCTCCACCTGGGGTTGGCCTTCCCAGCCAGGTGCCAAGTGGTTGCTCAGGACTGCTCTTCACAGCATCCCTGTCTCCAGCAGAAAAGGATGATTAAGTATTATTAGTGTCTATTTTTAAACTTCAGTGGGTTGGGAGACTGAGCTGTAAATGTCAGCTCCTTATACAGAAATACCAAGAGCTAGGAACCAGGTGTCCCCCTCCCCCAACACACACTTCTTTTTAAGGTGCCGCTAATCTTGATGCTTTTTCTTCTGGGAGAGCGGTAGGGGAGGGAGACCCTGGCCTCTAAAGGAGACAGGAGGCAGACAGTGAGGAGAGGTGCCTGCCCAGGTGGACGTGCTGACCCGAGGCTTGCACTGCCCACGGCGAGGCCCCTTCCTTCCCCCTCCTGTCCCCAGTGTCAGATGGTGGAGGACAGAAGAGTGGTGGGCCTAACTCAGGAAGGTACCGGTTCTGTTCCAGGCTGTGCCCAGCGTCCCAAATGTCTCCATGTCCCACAGTGCCTTCGTTGATCCCTTAGGCAGGCCACTGCCCTCCTGGAGCAGCGGCTTCCTCATCTAGCCGAGATGGTGAGAAGGTCCTTCTAGCCTCAACATTAGCCCCCATACTCTGTGACTCTCCTAAAGGCTGCTTCTGGTTCCCTGGGAGCCCCGCTCCCTGCTGCTTCCAAGGTCTACTGGACTCTGGATTAGGGCTGGCAGCCTTCAACCCTGAGACCTTGCATGGCTCAGGTTGTAGGGTGAGTGGAAAAAGTGTCCTGGGTGAACCAAGGGCTGGCCCGGGCTAAGAAAAAGCTAAGGTGGGGGGGCGGGTAGAGAGAGAGAGGGAGAGTGTGCGTGTGTGTGTGTGTGTGTGTGTGTGTGTGTGTGTGTGGTGTGTGTGTGTGAGAGAGTGAGAGAGAGAGAGAGAGATGAAAGCAAACCAGGCCTTGGGCTGTAAAGTCTGTGTTGGCCTGCAAGGGGTGTGGGGGATTGGGATGGGGAGAGAGCAGCCCGTCTCTGGCCACAGTCTGCTAACAGTAGGATGAGCTCAGACCTTGCAGGCAGCCTTGAATGCTAGTGCTTTTTGACCCAGGGCTCAGTATTGCTCAACCTCATTTGACATTCCTGTGGTTTCCTGCCTCAGTGTCCAGGCACAGCTGTGGCCACAGGAGGCCCTGGGGATGCATGGCCAGAAGCATCATGTTGCAGACTACTCCAGGAGTATTGTGTGCTGGTCCAGCACTGTATTCAGTGGACCTTCGCAGGCTGGAGGGTGTGTAGAGGAGGGAAGCCAGGATGGAGAGTGGCCTGAAGGCCAAGCTATGTGAGAATCGAGGGTCTTGAGCCCTGAGAAGTGGGATGTGATAAGGGGCTGCCATGTGAGAGGGATTAGACCAGGCAGAGCTAGGGACAACGTGGATGTGACAGCTTGATGGGAGGAGAAAATGCCCAGCAATTTAAAAGTTGCCACAAGTGGGCTGGTTGGTTCTGGCACGTGGTACTCCACGTAGGAGAGGGAGGCCTTTGCTTGGAGGCTGGACAGAGTGACCTGACGGAGGTATGGTAGAGGCTTTTCCTCGGGATGCTGCCTTCCCACACAAAGTTAGGCTAAATGGCTGGGGTCTCTCTGTTCCCTCCCCCCAACATACACTGAGTCAGTATTCAAAGGGGCCCCAGCCAGGTAGTGAAGTGCTAAGAGAATCTGATTTTCCGTTTGTCCCTCCCCCAGGAGGAGCAGGCTTCGGAGGCCTCCTTCCATTCCTATCAGAAATCTTTCCCAGAGATGACGCCGGTGGCCACAGCTTGGGGTGGGGGTGGGGGCAGAGGCTCAAGTTCTTGTTCTAGCCTTTTCTTGGGCAGCCGCTTCCTCTCCCCCCCACCCCCTGCCCCAATTTCCTCACCAATGAAGTTGGTGGGGGGGGCGTCTTGCTGGCCTCAGGCCTTCCCCGGCTTGGACATGCCTTGGCTCTGGAATAAGGCAGTATTCTTTGCCAATAAATCCCCCTTTCTCCTTCGGCCAGTGGAGGCTATTTATTGGCTGATGTCTCTTTGCATACATTTGCATGTATCCTGGTGCAGAGCATCGGGTTATTCACTATGGTGACGCTCTCATTTCTGGGATGCTCTTTGTGGTTCAGAAAGAGCTTTTCTTCTTGCACCCGGGGCGTTGGCTCCGGTCCCTAGTGGGAGGGCCGCTCTCCCCTTTTCCAGAGAAGAGATCTCAGAGCTGGGCTCGCATTGCAGCTGCAGAAGCGACTCAGACTCCACTGTACCACCCGCACTCACACACGCGCGAACTCCAGTGTGTGTCTCTTGGGGAGTGCAATTGTCAGAGGCAAAGGAAGGGGGAGGCGGCTCTGCTGTTTGGATTATATTGGCACGAAGTATTAATAAATAGGAGTGTCAGCACCTTGGGTCCTTGAATTTTTGGGGTGTCTTCGGTTTCCTCCTCACCTACAATCGTTTCATAAATGGGAGATGGGGTGGGCGTCTGTTTTAAAAGGCAGCAGAATCCAGGAGGCAGCTGGGAGCCACAGACACATTCACTCACTCTTCAACCTCCCCCCCCAACCCCCGCCCAAGGTGCCTGTCTGGAGTCCCTAAGGGTTGTGAGGTTGGGACTGCACTTGAAGGGACAGAGGAGTAATGTCAAATTCCTGGCCAGGGGCGGGGAGGGGTGGGCAGCAGGGCTTATGGGGGAAGGAAGGCTGTTTGCAAATGTCTCATTCTGTAAGATGCAAAATGAGGGAAAACACATCTTCCTTGGGAAAGAGTGACAAGCCAGAGGAGCTGGCATCCCTCAGGGAGGGTCCCTCGTTTGGGCCCTGGGGTGTGCAGCACTCCCCTTTCCCATGCTAGAGGACCTGTCCAGCCCCACCCAAAGAATGCCAGGCACTGAATTCCTTGGTAGCCTCAGCTAGGATGTAGGGTGGGGGTGCTGGGGAATTCTCGGCAGGGGCAGAAGGAAGACACTAGGCCTTCCAAGGACTGACAGTCTGGCAGGGAGACAGAGTGAGTGTGAGAGAGAGAAATAATGTCTCTGGCCTTTTCTGGAGAAAAGAGCAGCCTCCCCCTTTCTCTAGGTGATTGCTGACTTGAAGGTTTACAAAGCTCTTTAAAAACCAAGTCTTATTCGACCCTTTGCTGAGAGATAGGCAGAATGGCTGTTTTCTTCCTTCATTATACACTTAATGAAACTGAGGCCCGGGGAGGTGGTAGTGATGAAGCCTGGACTTGAACCCAGCTGTTCGGAGTCTGAGGCCAGAAATCCATAGTGACTCTTCTGAAGCACTCTGCACCAGGCTCTTGGGAAACAGAAACAAAAATGATCCCTACCCTCTGGGAGCTTGCATTCTATAGGAAATCTGCTCTGTGCCTCCTCTTTTTCCATTCAATTGCAAATCCTTAATCAGGTGTGGAGGAGATGTCCTTTGCTGCCATATTTAGGAATGTCCCCCAAACCTGGAGCATTTGTCTGGTGCCGAAGTCAGGGAATGGTAGTGATCCAGGAGGTCTCCCTGGAGGCGGTGCTCATGTTGGACCTTGAGGCAAGTAGAGAATAGGAGTGACCAGCAGTGTGGGCAAACCTTGGAGGTACCCACGTAGCAAAGCTCAACAAAGAGGATTGTAGGAGTTTGGACTGGATCCCGTGCCTAGTCGGGGTCCCTCTGCAAGCCTTGGGAGCGGTGGAGTGAGGTGATCGGTGCTGGGCTTGGGCTATCGGAGCAGGCATCCTAACCCATGGTCTCCCTGGTCAACAAGCATTTATTAAGTGCCTGCTATGTGCCAGGTGAGCAGCTAGGTGGCACCGTAGGGCAGAGCAGAAGACATCTTCCTGAGTTCAAATCCAGCCTCAGACGCTAGCTGTGTGACCCTGGACAAGTCACTTCACCCTGTTTACTTCAATTTCCTCATCTGTAAAATGAGCTGGAGAAGGAAAGGACAAACCACTCCATCTTTACCAAGAAAATCTTTGCCAAGAAAAACCCCAGATGAGGCCACAAAGAGTCAGACGTGACTGCAATGAGGGCCGAAAACAGGATTAGGGGTCGTAAGGCAGAGGGAAAGATGAAATAATGAACTATTATGACCAGATAAAGGAATTTCAGAGTTTGTGAACTTCTAAGCGGAACACATGTGGGTGGTGGAAAGATCAAGGCTCCGACCAGCTCTGCGTGTGGCTGAGGGGTGGAGAAGGAGCTCATAGAAAATGAGTCAGTTGAGGAACTGGGAGTTTAGTGGCTGAGGGAGGTCCCTAGTGTGAGGCTGAGAGTTGGGGTGGAAAGGACTGGAAATCAGACCGTAAACTGGAAGGAGAATGTCCCCAGTGGGTAGCGGCTGAGGGGCCGGATGCAGGACCCTTGGGGTGGTCACTGGGCTGGGAGCATGGCTCCTTGGGATGAAGTCTTGCCGGGGCTGCTGCGGCCTCAGCTCTGAGCTTCTGAAGCATGGCCAGCACAGGGCTGGGCACACCGAGGCGGCATTGTCCCTGGGTGAGGTGAACATGAGAGACAACCACCTGCTCTCTGGAGGCCTTTGTCCCCACTGGGGGAAGGGCAGGGGGTGCCCCTCCCAGGACCAGCTTGGAGCAACTGCCTCGTGCCCCCACACAGCGGTGTCAAGGCAACGGCTGCTCCCAGCCGGTGCAGCTCCTCCCAAGATCGGCTTTCAAAGCCTGTAATTAGAGTGAGTGCTAGGAGACGGCAGAGAGGGAATAGGAAGTGAGCTGGAGGGTGGGATGCTCAGAGTGCAAACAGGCTTCCTCCCTGTCACCCCGTGTCCTGCAAAGCCAGGCTTCTTCTGCGACATCCCCCACTGGAGGACAGTGAGGCCACGGTAGCCCGGTGCTCTTGACCTCTGCTCTTGGGAAGGCCCAGGTCCTGGCATGCAGGACCTCACAGCCTGGCTGGGCAAGATCAGAGCCACCGGTGAGCTGAGGCTGCCGGAGCCCAGGAGCACCAGACTTCTGGGTCAGCCTATGGGTCCCTGGGCCCACTGGGAGTGGATGGCACATTCCAGGCACAGGTCTCTTCTGATGATACTGAGTCAGCCCAGATCCAGGCCACCCACCTCCCATTCTCTGGCTTCCCAGACTCAATGCCTTCTCCAGAGCTCTGGAAGTTGTTCCCAAACCAGACCCACCTAGAACTGTCAGCTCCTGCCTTTTGTTCAGGTGACTGCTGCTAGGTCAAACTTCTACCAGCTCCCACCTCCTGGACCTCACAGCCAAAGCCACCTACCTTGAGGCTGGATCTTGAGGGAGGGCCTTAAATGGTCTAATCCCCTGCCTCCCTCAACAGACTGCTTTCCAGCTGCTGCTGCTCTTCCTGGACTCATTCCTCCTATCCCATCATATTCTTCCCCATCCCGAGGACTCTGAACCCCCAGCTGCCATCTACAAATCCCATTTCCCATTCTCCACTGCCTGCTCCCTCACTCCTGTCCCCCTCAACCTGGCCCCAAACATGCCCCTCGAAATCTCCCCACCCCTTCCTCTGTGCTCTCCGGAATTCCTGGTCCATGGGTAACAGACATGCTTTCATCTTAACATCTTTTCCTTTCTTATTCCTTCCATCTTCTGGCTCTTATTGAGACCTGGCTCCCTTCTCATGACACAGAGCCCCAGCCACCCTTCCCAGGACCAATGACACCATCACTCCTACTCTGTGACTTGCCCGAGTCATGGGAGGGGAGTTGGAATCCTCCTTGCTTCCCACCACCCCTTCATACTATCCCCCTACCACCATCTCTCAGCTACCACTCCCCCAGTGAGGTTCATTCAATTCACATTTGTCACCCAATCCAGTTGTTGGTGGCTGTTATCTACCAATTCCCAGGACATTCTCCTCTCTTCCTCCATGAATTTAATGCCTGGCTTACAGTCTTTCTCTCCTCCCCAACTCCTGCCCATATTTAGTGGCATTTCCTCAGATACATCACATCCCAGTTCCTCAAATGACTCATTTTCTATGACCACCTCAGACACACAGATCTTGCCACCACCCACAAGTGTTCCACTCCCATGTTCACAAATTCTGAAATTCCTCTATGTGGTCATGATCTTTTATCATTTCATCTTTCCCTCTGTCTTATGATCCCTAATACTGTTTTGGGTCATAACTATGACCTCCAATTCCTCCAACCCTCAATTCTCCCCTGCTATCACCCTGCACTGTCTACATTCTTCCCCCTTCCTCATCTTGATCCCTTTGGGTGAACCAGTTCAGTTCTACACTGTCCTTTTCTCTTTAACGGTTTTTGCTTATTTGATTTAAAGTAATAGTTCATTTAACATTATTCTAAATTGAAGCATTTCTGGCTTGGAGAGAGAAACATCCAAACTGATGAATCCCCCCCGTCCCCTCTCCCCCCCCCCGCCATGCTCTTGGACATCTCTCTAATGAAGATAATTTGGAGTAACATTTATAGGAAATTTGAACAAGGAAAATGTCACAATATGATAAAATACAATTTGGGAATAGCATTCTACCCTACCAACCATTCTATTCCACCTAATAGAAAAGCAGTCACTTGGTGTTCTAAAACCCTCAGTTCCTTCTTAATAGCTCCCCTCAAGGGATCAAGGGGTTCTCCACCCTCTAATCAGTACCCCAGCCAAAGACAAGATTTATTAAGGATCCGCCATATTAGCCAGACTCTTAAGGAATCTGAACATTTGTGAGCTGTTGGCTAGGTTCTTAAGGAATCTGAGCCATAATCTCTCATTTCTTCAGGGGATAGGCAAGGCAGTGATAGTAACTAGACTAGAGACATTTTTTGTTCCAAGTTTGGTTTCCACCCATAATGGCAGATCTTAGCTTTTATTCTTAACCTTTTGTATGCTTTCCTGAAGAAAAAGCCCAGAAAGCACTTGAAACTAGAAAAATATTTATTAATTTCTCAACAACTTCAGTTGGACTAGAAAGCAGGTTTCTAATATGCTTCCACACCTCTTTGCAACCTTTGACACTGTGGATCTGAAATCCTAGAAGTTCTGTCCTAGGTAGGTTTATCCATCAATCAGTCAACATTTATTGAGCACCTGCTGTGTTCCAGGCAATGTGCTAAGTGCTAGGGATGCAAAATGAGGCAATTGAAAGCTATTGCCCTTGGTGATTTCATCATCTCCCATGGGTTCATGTTTTTCCTGAAGATTCCCAGATCTATTTGTCCAGCCCTCACCTGTCATCTCAGATCACCAGCTGCCCCTTGGACATCTCAGACTGGGTGTCCCTGTTGGCATCTCAAACTCAATGCAGCCAAAACAAAACTCTTTATCTCCCTCCCTCCTGCCGCAGAACCTTCCTGTCTTTTCCATTTTCGTCCATCTGTCAAGGACATGAACAGCCTGGGTTGCACATCACCTGGGCTAGAAGCCTCAATGGCATCCTCCCCTCTGCGCCCAAACT